GGATCATCTGGTGGATTTATTTTAGACATCTGATGAATCTTGGTATTGTCTTGCATGATGGTTGTGTTAGTTCACATTCCCACCCCATCCTTGCCAGTGCTTGCTGTTTCCGAATTTTGGATGATAACCATTACTGACCTTACTGTGCTTTTAATTTGCATTTCCCTGTTGGTTAGTGAACCTCAGCATTTCTTTTTCTTAGTTCTGTTGGATAAAAATAAAGATAAAATTTGAATTTTATCTTTTGAGAAATGCTAGTTATGTCCCTTGCCCATTTCTTTTTAATTGATTTATTGATTGATGATTTTTACATAGGTTATTAAGGTGCAAATGGTCAAGGGCTGCAGGAACGTGGGTGAGACCGTTATTTCCACAATCTCTTTTTTTTCCTTACTGAGAAAAGGAGGAGATTAAAGGGAGAAGCCACACCTGACCTCCCATATCCTCTGTGTCCTGGGATGGAGGACAGCCACCTGATGCCATCCCAGGGTTCCCGATATGGGGCATGCTTCAAGGGTCATGCTCAAAAGGTTTTGATAGTTCATCAGTTCTGAATTACTGCTGGTCCCGCCATTCCGATCACAGTAAAATCTCTCCAGAATCCACTGGTTGACAAGGTCCACCTCAGAGTCCGTTTACCTAGGTATTCACTGCCAACACTTGGCCGGGACAGTTGATTGATTTTTTTTTTCTGTCTTCCGTCCTCCGTTTTGGTACCACGTGTCCTCTGCAGGCGCCAGTGTACTGCCATATCCTCCAGGTGCACCTGGATATGCTCTCTATTGCTCTGTCTGAGCCACTGAGGAGGCCCAGCTCTGATATTTGCATTCCATGGTCACACCATGGAACCTACAATTCTCTCCAGGGTTGGGGTTCTGAGTCCAGCGATTCAGTTGGAATCCCCAAAGAAACTTTGTCTGTGGCGATCCCAGACCTGATTCTTATGTGTATTTGCCCTGTAGTATATCTTGAAAACTTCTATTATGATGCCTCCAACTTGGTTTTTGTTGTTTGAGATTGCTTTAGCTATTTGGAGTCTCTTGTTAATATTATGTAATGTTTCAGCTCAGAGATCCCTCACATCCTTGGTCAAATTTTTTTTGTTATTTATTTATTTTTTTTTGCAGCTGTTATGAGTGAGACTGATCTTACAAGGTCTTTCTCAGCCATGGGGTTGTTTATGTAAAGAAAGGGCATGGATGTTTTTTGTTGTCTTAAGATTTACTTATTTTTATTAGAAAGGCAAATTTACAGAGAGGAAAGAGAAAGATTTTCCATCTGCTGGTTCATTTCTCAGTTGGTGTAGTGGATGGAGCTAAGCCAATGTGATGCCAGGAGCTGGGAGCTACTTCCAGGTCTCCCTCGTGGGTGCAGGGTCCCAAGGCTTTGGGCCGTCCTCGACTGCTTTCCCAGGCCACAAGCAGGGAGCTGGATGGGAAGTGGAGCTGCCAGGACAAGAACACATATAGGATCCCGGTGATTGACCCACCTGCCTGGTCCTCTGCTTAGATTGTTATTGACCTCGGCCTGCACGGTTAGAGCTTTTATCAATTGGATAAAGTCGGCTTGTTCTCTCTGAGCATACAGTTTTTCTTCTCTTTACCTTTGTCTCCCAGAACTTCCAGGTAAACGCCCACTTGACTGCTGCCTGACCCAGTGCTTTTCTGTCTTTCTGCTCCTTTGGGGACAGTTTCAATTCAGTGTGTGAACACACTGGTGTACTTTTGCTCAGTGTGTGTGGGAGGCTACTCCTGTCTGGGGTGTTCTCTGACTTTACCTGTTGCTGCTCTGTTGGGTTTACCTGGTCTCCTCTGCTTCTAGAACACACAAGGCTCATTTGTGTAGCTGTGTCCTTCTGCTGTCTGCTAGTTCCTTTGTGTGTACCACTTCTAGGTCATTTTGAATTGATTAGTTTCCTCTGTTGGCCATGTGTGTTGTAGCAGTTGTCAGGTTTGTCTTCTGAGCAGCATGTGCTGTTCGTGGTGCTGGATTCCCTCGTCCAGTGGAGGGTGCTGGAAGAGCAAGGGCCTTCTCTGTGGCTCCTGTGTGCTCTGCTGTGTCCATGCTGTGACACTGGCGTGTGGGACAAGGAGTGTTCAGGCACATTCATGGCCCCCCAGCTGGCCTCCTGGTGACAGGAGGATCCCCTATCCCCAGCATTCCAGCTGCCAAAATCATCTTGCTGATTTTTTCTGCCTCTGGCCTTGGCCTGGGCTGGAACTTCACACTGGGGCTGGGATTGCGCTGTGCCCATTGTGATGTGTTAGGCTCAGCTGCAATGCTGGCATCCCACATGGGTGTCAGTTTGAGTTCCAGATGCTCCACTTCCAATCTGATGCACATGGGAAAGCAGCAGAGGTCGGCCCAAGTACTTGGGTCCTGCACCCATGAGGGAGACCCAGAAGAAGCTCCAGACTTAAGCCTAGCCCAGATCTGGCTGCTGCAGCCATCCCAGGAGTAAATTAGCAGATGAAAGATCTCCCTCCCTCCATGGGAAGTAAAGCAGCCAGGAAATGAACTGATGCCCACAACCAGGTTCTATACATCTTATACATCTATACATCTTAAAATAGCTATAGATTACTATTCAGCTGTCTCGTGTCTGTTTTCATTATAGTATTTAGCATTATATAGCGTTGAAGCATAATTTTGCTGAACTTTTTTTTTCGGGTAGTCTAGACTGGCTTATAACTCTAACAAGACATATGTCAACAGTTTAGGTGCGGGACAGTTTTAGGAGGGGTGTGCAGAGAAATCCTCAATACCCTAGTGAGGAGTAACCAATCTTTGTGTCCCACTTAGTAAGGTATAAGTGAATCCACGCTGACCATTTCCTGTCTGAGTCAAAGCTTTCCTTGTTGTTCTCTATTCTACAGTTTTGTTTGTTTGTTTTGAGGGGTTTCTGGAGCGATCCTAATGGTCATTGCATGAGAGGGTGGGGACCCAAGGTTGGACCCAAGCGAGAACCAGAGAAAGCTCCTCTCCTGAGTCCCCAAGGAAGTTTAATGTTCTTCTGTTTCTGCGGACTGCACAGGGCTCCTGACTGTTGTTCTGACGCCTTTGGATCCTGCGAGGAAGGATATGGACTTCTTTCATCCCATGTGGTAGATCCAAGCGGGAGTGGGTGACAGTGGGTGACCTCAGAGTTCTTGACCTCCGAAGGCACTCCAACTCCCTGTGGTCTCCTTGGCAGTTGGGATGTTGTCCTTGGTCCCCGTACTGATGGTCCTTGGTGAGAATCCGTGAGTCTTCAGGGTTGGGATACAAGCCTCCTCCTGTTCCCCTGCTCCACTCTGGGGTCCCCCTGCTCTGTGTATATGACCTCCTGTTAAGAGGTTGTCAGGATCGCTCTTAATTCCCCTTATATGTCTTTGTAGTTTAACTATTGTCTAATGCTGATTTGAGTCTGTTGTGTATGAGTTACCAGTTGTGATCCTGGTAGGTTATATTTCACGTCTTCCTTACACATTCTAGGGAGATGGAGGATTTCTCTGCTCTCCCCACTATGGGATAACATAGGGTATTAAAAGTATATTAGGTTTTACAGTTCTTTGATGTAGATCATAAGCGGTCTGACTCACATTGATTGTTGGTTCATTGATTACTTCACAATATCTTATTGCATGTGAGATAGGCTGTTTGAGGTTGAGATAATATTACATTTTATACCCCCATTTTTTTTAAACAGTAAAATAATCCTGAGCATCACCATCCACTTGATGGTTTACCTGCTCCCAGGTCTGATTCTTTCTTTAGGTTCCTCTGTCCCTCCAAAGTATGCTGCAGAGTTAGTTCTTGTTTACCCCTACCCCCTGGCTGCGTGGTTTATCCCCTCTTGCTAGCTGGCCATCCCTTGATGCTGCCCAGCCTCGTGCCCGTGGGCCCAGGGTTGCAGAGTCTGCAGTTGCTTCAGCCCATTCCTTGGAGCAATGCCACCTCTGCATTCTGATGTGTTCTGAATTAGGGCCATGGCTTGTGGGGACAACAAGTATCCCCATCATGGAGTGATGTCCCTGGCTGAAGACTGGAGGGGACTGCGGTCCCAGCCCTCTGACCTACCCTGCAGGGTGCCGGAGTCCAGCTCCAGCCGAGTTTAGAACTCGAGAAGGGTGCATGGAGTAGGTGTAGCAAGAAAAGAAACGGACCACTACGATTTCATGATCATAATGGACCATGCAAGAAAGCTGTCCCCTTTATTTATACAGAAGCAGTCACAAACTCTGGCACAGACTTTTGACTTCATGGTCAAGTGGGTGTTTCCAAGGATAATTCTGCCGTTTGTTTCACTTTAAAGCTCTCAGTAGACAGCACATAGCAATCAGTAACACATTCCAGCTACAGTCTTCATTCTACAGCTTAGTCTTGAATCAGTTAAGGGAGGAAATGCATCGCAGAAGGAAGGACCTGAAGATCAAGGATGGTCAATGGGGGCAGCAGAGACAGGGACAGCATGAATGTAAAAAACCCTTCAACAACATCAACTTCCAAGCTCACACTGACAGTAAAGACCAACTCCGCAGTGGCAGACAATGCCTAAATAGATTATAGAATTCTCAGCGGGATGGTCCGGCATCCATGCAAGGGAGGTGGAACTGCCTTCAGGTGGATGCAGACACCCACCGGGCCCTGCCATGCAGCGGGACATTCCTTGTCGCCCTGCCTGCAGGGGAACAGTTCTCCACACACTTTCGTGTCTTCCACACCCATGGCACGGACCCCAGCAGCAGGGTGCAGACACTTGGGCCTGAGGGAGATGCTGGCTGTGTACCTCAGCTGCCTCACGCCGTAGCTGGTGCAGTCACAGCTTAGCTGTTGCATGTCCCCTTGGGAATTGCTGGCCTGCACTGATGTCCAGTCCCACAGTTGTTCAGGGGTTGCTGTTACTCCGTCCTGAGTCTGTAGAGGGGAGCAAAGGAGGCACCCTCTCAGAGCGGGTGGTGCCCCTGCCCATCAGCCCTGATGGCCGTGGGTAACTCTCTCTTTTCCTCCTCCTTCACCAGCCATGGCATGGAGACAGCGAGATTGCGGCAGCTGTGAGCAACAGGATGGTGGCTCCGACTGCCAGGCGAGCTTGTTCGGCCCCCTCTTGGTGGCTGAGTCGCCGACTGCTGTGGCATCCGAGGTCTGTGCCTCCTGCTGGAACCCATGTGAGGAAAGCACCTGCTCACCCATAAGCTGGCAAGGCCGCTGGGCCCCCAGGGACTCCAGCAAATTCTGGACAATAGAGAGCAGGCTGGACAAGACATCCCATGCCAGGTCACCCTGGCTTCAGGGTTGCCAGAGGACCAAGCTGGACTCAGCCCAGCGTGTTGGTGCTGTCGCTGCTTCTTGCCGGGGCCTGGCAGTTCGGCTTCCGCAGCCTGCATGGAGAAGACGTTTGGGAGACCCCCTGGACGGTGAGTAAGGCCCGATGCCCTGGCCCAGAGCCTGGGCCTATAGATACTGAGGAGACACAGCTCATGCTGTGGCCATCCTGGGGTGGGGCACAGACCTCCTTTTGGAGGGTAGAGGTGAGGCCCTGTGTCTGCCCACACATGGGAGGCCCGTACACACAGGACAAAGGGTGGCATATCTCAGGCAGTGGGCCTTCCAGAGGTCCATGGCCTGGGGTCCAGCCACTGTTAGTGGCAATGTCTCCTCAGAGGAGCCTTTCCTGAGAAGTGGCCTCACTGCCCACACAGCCAGGCCCTCCTGTTCCAAGGAGAGGTCAGCTCTACGAATCTGAGTGGGAGCTTGGGGGTGTGATCTCCCAGTGCCAGGCAGGGAGCCATGAAATCCAGAGGTTCCTAGTGGCAGTAGGTGGGGGCATGTGGCCCACAGCGTCTGGAGAGGTGGGAAAGATGGGGACCTGCCTTGCTGCCACCGTCCCTGAACATGAAGAGAAGGGCTGAGCCAGCAGACCGCCAGCTTGGCTTTGTTCTTGGGGCTCTGTTCAGTGCAGGCACTGCACTGCCATGTTGGTCTTGGCCCCTGGCTGCCGCCCATTGTGGGCTCCTGTTGAGCTTGGGCATGGGATGCCACTCCTGTCATGGGGAAGACTCAGACCAGCTCCTCCCAAGGCTCTGTTGCCTGGCATTTCTCATCCTTTGCCCTTGACCTCCACTTTCCAGGGTGCGTGTGCTGCTTCTGGGTTCTCTTGTCTGCCTCCTGCCCGAGCGCACCCCTCTGGCCCAGTGCTGCCCCTGCCAGGCTGCAACACTCATGCCTTCAGCTCCTGCTGACCTGTGGCTGAAGCCATCCTTCCTGCACTCTCGTGGGCCCTCTCCTGTGTGGGACTCAGACCCTGCAGCAGACAGCCAGAGCCAGCGGCTGCCATCCACTGCTCCCAGCACATCCCAGCAAGCACCTGCTGGGCCTCGGACTTGGCTCTGAGGCAATGCCTCCCAAGCCCAGCTCTCCCAGGGAGTGGTCCCAGGGCTTGTGTCAGACGGGAGCACTGGGAGACGGGCGAGGACAGTAAGTAGGGAAAGGCAGTTTAAATTGGACATCTGGCCTGAGGCTCACGTGATGTGGGTGGCCAAGGGCTGTGGTGGGGAACAATGTGTAAAGACCCCAAGGCAGGAGCCCATTTGGCAGGCGTGGCCGAGGCAGCGGCGCTGCAGCAGTGAGCCCGCGGCTGGTCACAGGCAGGATGCTCTGTGGTGAATCTGCCTCCCCAAGTCTGGCTGGCCACGTAAGGGTGAGCCAGTGGAGGGAAGATGGATAACTCACTCTCCTCCTGCCTTTCAAGTAAGATGAAAATATGGAAACAGCTGAAATAAAGCCTGGGGGGAGGGGTCAGCATTGTGTAGATTGTGTAGTAGATATGGGCCACGTGGGTACTGGTTCATGTTCCGGCTGCTCCACTTCCCTTCCAGCTCCCTGCCTGTGGCCTGGGAAAGCAGTCAAGGACGGCCCAAAGCCTTGGGACCCTGCACCCACGGGGGAGACTGGCAGAAGAATTCCAACTGCAGCCTGGCCCGGTGCCACCTTTACAGCCATCTGGGCAGTGAGCCAGTGGATGTGAAACCTGTCTGTCTCCCTGCCTGTCTACAATTCAAAACACACTGGAAAATGGAAAAAAGGTAAGTTCATTGTGGTGCAGAATAATTTTGAAATTCATGCAGGATTGTTTTACTAACACATATTTTTCATTAACTGGTGTGAAAGTTTCATGGCTTTCATAATCGTTTTGCACCAAAATAAATGCATTTCTAGTTGTATTTTCCTTGCTTTTTGACGTCCCTCACGACTGGGAGATGTTCATAGTGCCCATGCAGGCAGGTGGCCCAGCTGACCTGCATCACTGTCCCTGAAACCTTTTCGGTGACTTCTTTGAGCTGGAGCTGCTGCAGGCACATCCGCCCTAGCTGAGACCTAGAGGGTGGCCCAGCAGCCACCCAAAGCAGTTGGACAGGCTCACAGAGCTGTGTCGTGCGGGGCACCTGGCCAGTGGGCTGCAGGCAAAACTGTGGGGCCAGGACTTGGGGCCCAGGGAGATTCCCAGGGGGAGGAAGCCGGTTCACTCCGGATTGCCCATAAAGCTGGCCACTGCCTGGAGCAGGGCTGGGCTGTGTGGGTGGAGGCAGGGACCTCAGAAAAGCTCTGGGTTGGAACCCTGGCAGGCCCCTAGAGGGGACGCCCCACGTGGACTGGTCTTTACCGAAGTGACAGGGCCTTCGCTGCTGCACAGCGCTCTGAGCCTGGCTTAGTGGGCACCCTGACTCTTGTCCTGTCACCCTTGTTGTCGCTTGCAGGGGATGGCTGTGCTTGGGGAGATGGAAGCTGTTTGTCTCTCACATGTGGACTGTGAAGCCGCTGTGATTAGCATAGGGAAGAAAGGAGGTAAGATGGAGAAGCCGCAGTAAATTGGAGTTCCTAATAAATGTAATGAATTCAGCAGGTGCATTCACCGGGCCAGCCAGCTGCAGAGGGTCAGGGCATGGGAGGTGGGGCCCTGCTCACCCTCCACCGACCTCCCGCCTCAGGTGGGGAGGTGGCGTGCCCTGGAGGTGGCTCTGTGCCTGAACCCTGTGGGCATGGCACACTGCGCACTGTCAGGCAGCTGCCCGTCTCCCTGGTGTGGACATTATAAATGGCTTTTCAAACAGACTTCACCTGTGGCTCTCCAAGGAGAAATGTGTGGCCTGGGGCAGGGGGAAGCCTGGCTACAGAGGGTCTCCAGCTGAAGTGAGCCTGTGGCTTTTGTCTGCACTTGAGGTGTGTGGAACTGAGGAATTTTCCAGCTTCAGTTAATGCCTACTTGATAATGAATAAAAAAAATGCACAAGGGCTGGTGAGCTGAGGCTGGGTCTCGGGCCAAGGGCAGCACGTCAGGCCGAGTGGTGACTGTCGGCTGTTCGGTCACTGGGTACAGGGTGGATGGGAGTCAAGTTGCCACAGATGCTGTCCCTCCCCCTCCCTGCACCCTCAAAAGATGCTGCTGGGTACCCTGAAACTCCCTGTGAAGTCACGCTCACTGCCCGATGTCCCACGTGGATGCCCAGCATCCACCTAGCTGGGCTCTCTGAGGACAGGGTTTGCCTTGGCAGGCTGAGAGGAAGAGGACCTTCCTGACATGCCCAGGTGGAGGACAGCTCTGGCGGGTGGCCTGGCATGTGCCCTCTGCGCTCCAGGGCTTTGGGACAAAGAAACACAGTCCTTGCTTCAGGGAACTTGTGTTCTGGTCCAAAAGCTGACCACCAGCATACGCAGGAAATGAGCAAAGCAAAACAAACATGGACATGGGCCACCACCCCCTGGGTTCCGTCAGAGGTCTGGGTTAGCACGGCCCCTCTGGAGAGATGTCATCTGGCCTGAGGGCCCTGAGCTGCCTGGACAGAGTGAACGGTGTGAGCTGAGATCCGGGAGCAGAGGGCAGCATGCCCTCAGCACGTCTTCGGGACAATGAGGAGGTAGTGACAGGTTGTAATCCATGGCTGACAGATCCAGCTGGGTGTGTGGATCACAGGCAGTTTGTGGAAGCAGGGGTCATGTAAGGGCGGTTGACAGCTGCTGTGGCTGAGGACAGGGCGGCCTTAGGATGCTCAGGCCCATCCCAGGTATCTGACATCTGGGCAGGAAGGCCATGGGTATAGTCTGGCTCACTTGGTCACAGCAAGATGCCCAGCAGATGCTGAGGGAAGATCCCTGGCACGGTGTAAGTCTGGACAAGCCCCTGCCCGGGAATCCGTCCCTGCGAAGGCCACAGGGCCCCCTCTGCTGCAGCTGCAACTCTTTCCTCCCCCACATCCACTTGGCCGCTGCCCTCCTGCCTGCTCCCTTCCCTCACCACCGAGGTGCCTTCTCAGCTGCTAACCTGGGTCTTGACGGTTTTGTTTCTTGTCTTTCGTTTTTTGAATTTATTTATTTCCAAGAGCAGTAGATTCAGGGAGAGACAATCTGCCATTTGCTGTTTTTTCCCCAAAGTAGCCACATAGCTGGGGCTGGGCTGGGCCAAAGGCAGGAGCCAGGAACTCTATCTAGGTCTCCCATGTGGGTGGCAGGGGCCCAGGTTGGTCTTCCCCTGCCTTCCCAGGCGTACGAGCAAGGAGCTGGAATGACAGAAGAGCAACCAGGACTCAACCCAGTCTAGCGTCTCAGGTGGTGATATTTTTTTAAAGATTTTATTTTTATTGGAAAGGCAGATAAACAGGAAGATCTTTTGTCTGATGATCATTCCCAAGCGGCCGCAATGGCTGGAGCTGAGCCAATCCGGAGCCAGGAGCTCCTCTGGGTCTCCCACTCGGGTGCAGGTCCCAAGGCTTTGGGCCGTCCTCAACTGCTTTCCCAGGCCAGGGGCAGGGAGCTGGATGGGAAGCGGGGCCACCGGGATTAGAACTGGCGCCCATATGGGAGCCCAGCACATTGAAGGTGAGGACTTAGCCACGAGGCAATCGCACCGGGCCCTCAGGTGGTGATTCAACTCACTAAATCACAACACCTGCCCCAGTATCTTCATTTTCATCATTAACTTCTTTGTTTGTAAAGATTATTTACTTTACTTGAAAGACAGAAAGACAGAGGCAGGAGAGAGGAGATAGATAAGACAGATTAGATAGAAATAATATCTTAGTTTCTAGGTCACTCCCCAAATGGCTGCAGCGGACTTAGTTGGGCTGGTCTGAGGCCAGGAGCCAGGAGCTTCCTCCGGGTCTCCGTGTGGGTGCAGGGCCCCAGCACTTGAGCCATCTCCCGCTGCCTTCCCACGTGCTGCCTTCCCACGTGCATTAATAGGGAGCTGGATCCAAGGTGGAACAACCGGAACTTGAACAGGCAGGCCGTGTAGGATGCCTGTGCTGCAGGCGGGGGGTCGGCTTGCCGGGCCTCTGCACTGGTCCCCAACATTCACTTCTTGTTATATTTTTGAGGAATATTGCATTCCATCTATTTGTGTGGCTTAGGAAATTTTTTAAAA